ATGGGGAGTAAGGTGAAACTGAGCAATGGTTTGGCAGATGAAGTTAGTGAGGGATAACCGTAGGGAGTATACCAAATGGTTGGTACCGTCGGCAATAGTTTATTCTGCGATTCCTCATCACTAAGGGGAGTGCCGCATAGAAAATTTTGATGACTGTCTTCTAGGGGGGTATATACAAGAAGTGAAACGGTAAAGTGCGGTAATTCTCAAAACAATTTTTTTCGACCATTCGCCCGGCGAAGCCGATCCGACTGGCCCTCCCTCTCATGGAAAACTTCTCACCGGGACCCACTTCACACCCGGAAGGAGGATCGGCCGGCGAAGCCGGCCGATCCGACTGGTACTGTCGAAAACGCCCAAAAGAAGATCTGTTGGCTCAATGAGGAGCCCTACATGAGCGTATGCTACAGAGAAACTGACCATGGAAAAGCAAAGTAGGTGGTTTAGCTAGAGCTTATACAAAGGATCTTTATGCTGCTGCTGCAGATCACGTTCAAGCAACTTTAGTCCAGCTCACGATTAAGTTGGGCCTTTCTTATGACCCGCGTAATACAGCGCTGATTTTGATCTCTGAGGCTCCCGCTCTGTTTCAAATGGCTTTCTTCTGAGGCCACGTTGGCCGAGCATCAGCCGCTCTTTTCTTGGCGATCCTATTGGTGTCTTCACGTTTTCGTTTTTTGAAGGAGATGAACTAATACAAGATTTCAAAATCTGCTTGCAGGATTTTCGTAATAGTGGGAGTAGGCATTGTAGTGGCGCTTATTATTGCTAATCTCATTCTGCTTAGAAAAATTCTGAAGGATCGAAAGAAGGTAGGGACATCTCCACGCTATTTATAGATACCATGTGAACTGGAAAATTAGCTGTTCAGGATCGGTTGGAAATGACATGGGAGAAGCGTTTGCGGGAGACGGCCATGACTTTGGAACGCCGAGAACAAGAAAAAATGAAAGAGAAGATGAAAAGTATTCGTGGGGATAAAAAATCAGATAGAAAATCCAAAGATGGTTCCATAGAGGGATCAATGGAAGAAGTCTCCAAAGAACGAACTGGCTCCAAAGAAAGGGGTTCCAAAGAGGGAAGTGGCTCAAAAGAAGGAGTATCGAAAGAACAATTTGGCTCCAAAGAAAGGGGTTCCAAAGAGGGAAGTGGCTCAAAAGAAGGAGTATCGAAAGAACAATTTGGCTCCAAAGAAAGGGGTTCCAAAGAGGGAAGTGGCTCAAAAGAAGGAGTATCGAAAGAACGATTTGGCTCGAAAGAAGGGGGTTCCAAAGAGCGAAATGACTCGAAAGAACGAGGACCAAAAGAGCGCCAGGCCTCCAAAGGAGGAAGTTCTGAAGAGGACGGCGGGAGTGGTATATGAAGATTTGGTCGTAAAATAGGGCGCTAAATTCCGCCACCTGAGGTTCAAATTTCCATCAAGAGATTATACAATTAAAATAAGCATTTGATAAAAACATTGCCTTCGTTAACAATTGCTGCTGATCTTCACGTGCAATAATTAATAAACACTAGTTTAAGTGTAATTAATAAACACTAATTTAAGAGTAACCTGTATCACCTATTGCCCCAATTGTTCGTCGAGTCGCCTATTCTTGTGGCTAGTTTCATGTTTGCCTAAGTAACCCAAAACAAGTAGTGACACAACCAGTCGGGAGCATCATCATTTTCTAAAGATGTGTGAAGAAGTCCATTGGCCTCTTTGGCAAGCATTCTTTAGAGGATTTCGACACTGGCGTCATAACCTACATCGTAATAGGGTTCGTAAAGGAGGCAGTCGGTTTGGTGGGAGGAGGGGGAGAGAGATTTTTCTGGTACCCATCCTGTCAGTGGCTGTTGTGGTAACCTGTAAATTTATGCAGAAGCATGAGCTTGATTTGGACTATACAAGAGTCTACCGGTTTCCACCAGGGCGAAAACGTGTAAGTTAAAAGGAAGCAGAAGAAACTGATGAAAGTGCAAAATGTTCTGAGCCGAACAGCGCTAGATTCATCCATTTGTGAGACTCTTATTTAGGAAGCTGGGGAAAGACGCTTCGCCCATCAGAGTCATGTTGAAGAGGGACAAGTAATAGACATGATCTCTGCGTGTGGCGAGGCGTGGATTGGAGCGCTTCCAAGGCAGCCTTTTCCATCAACTGATGTCATCCTCAGTCTTCAACGATTGGCGGGAAAATCGTTCTGGCCACGCCCCAACTCGCGCCCCTTCACACGCCCTATCACTTTCCGGGATCATGACTATACCTAGAATATCTAAGAGAAAGTGCGGTAGCAAACAATTACTGCTGCCTCCGTCATCATCTACGCTACTCGCGACTAGTAGCCCTAATAGCCAATTCCAGGAAAAGCGTGAGGTGAGGGTACGAGTCCCCTCTGGAGTCGAGACTCTGGCCCATAACTGAGCGTTCCTGCGATGACTTTCTTAGCGCGCACTGCTGTCAAACATCAGTTATGTGACTGCCGTAAAATAGCCCGGCTAGTAGCTAACTGTCAACGAAACGCTCTCGTTCTCCTGCGACTTGATCGAGACTGAAACCACGCCTTTCTTACGATCAAATCAGAATCCGGTTACGAATGACACGCGCTAATTGGCCAAAGATCCCGCTTCAAATGTTACTTATTGCCGTTCTGTGAACTTCTTCAGCTTCAGTGCCTTTCACTCAGCCGCCTCGCTCCCGTTCGCACAGACTTGTACTTACCTTTGCTACTCTTTGTCGCAAGCGCCGGCTGCCCCTGTCGATCAGACCAGCCCTTTTTCGCGCATCACTCAACTTTCCAGCTCTCTGCGCCTCCCTTCTCTTGTCGCCTCTACTACTTAATAACACGCTACATCACGCTAATTTTAGCGCTTTTCCCGCTCTCCACCGCGCTCCCACGCACTATCACCTCCTATTGGCCGCTGCTCACGCATCTCAACTTGCTAAATTCTCATTGTGGTTGTTGCGACGCGGGCATCGTTCAGGCCGCTCCAAACTGTCCCCTCTGATGAAGAAGAGGTCACGAAGTTCCTTCGGCGGACGGGCCTGCGGGCGCGCCGCTCGGCGGCATAGCGCATATTCATCATCACAAATCAAATCTCCGAGAAAAGCGCTTGTTCTAAGTCTCCCCCTGACCCCCGGCCCTTCCCTACCGGCCACACTTCTTTGTGCATAATAGTTGGTCGAATGTCTTTTCCTCCCTCCCTTTCTCGACGGATACAGAAGAGTTCGTATTTTAGAAAGTTCATAAACCGGGTGATGTGCCCTAGAGATGGAGGAAAGGGGCTGGTCACTCAGTTTATATCATCGCAGCCAAGGTGATTGAAAGGGTGTTGTGGTAATTAAGACCAATGCTGTGTCTTTCTGGGGTGAAAATTAGAGATATGACCCGGTTGGGTGACCATTTTCGGCTGAAAGGGTGAGTTTTCCACTTGAAGGCGGACCTGCATGAAGTCCAACATGATTCGTGTGTTATCTAACCACACTGACGAGGTAGGGGGGGGTCTTTTAGGTCGTGAGCCCATTTTCAGATCGCGAAAGGGTAGTTCATTTTCGTTGTGCGCTTCGAGGAGGTTGAAATAAAGGGTGAAACTTAGCTTCAAGTTCGAATCCCCTTGTTGACATAGTTTTGCACATTTTCAATTTTAATTTCCATAGTCCGAACAAAATCGTGTCCGAAGCTTAAGGTTTTTCTCTGCCCAAAAAACAGAAGAGCTCGCACCCTGAGAGAGCTCCCCTGTAAGAAAGGGTGTAGAAGTCTGTCCAAAGCGCTGTCTTCTACATATAGTCGATATTGGCGCAATCAGTCAGGGCGGTCCCAAGGGAGATCGAATGAGCCCTCTCCGACTCGTTTTCTACCAGTAGTGATCTGCTGGTGGTCGATTTGGGAAGAAAGCAACCATTGGAGTAAAAGGCCGCGGGTGAGCTCATTCCATGCCCCATGACACCGCCCCGGCTACTTGACTGATACAAACTCAAAGCATGGAGTACATTTTGACGAACTCTTTGATTCTTTTGGCTCTTTTGGAAGAAATAGTTTGGAAGTAGATTTTTTTCAACATTCGGGTCACCGCTAGGAATCGGGACGACGAAATATTCAGAAGTAAAATTGCTATAAACCGGGGGTTAATCAATGGACTATGAGATAGGGGTGAAACCAAGAGAACGCCTGTGCGCAGAGTTGCAGTGATCATTGTCGGGCTATCACCAGTCGGATTGCAGTCAGATCAGAGATTCTTGCGCAGAACCCCAACAGTGAAGTTGATTGATTTCCATGGGTGTGAACATAGCCAATCGTTCCCGTTTGCGGGCGAACTTTCAGTGTCGTGACCGCAATTGCTTGCCGGATGTGGGTCAAGAACGATCGTGTGGCACTCGCAATCGCGTGGTTTTGCTACATGTCTTGTATTCAAATTTTCTTTTCATTAGAGTTCTAAAATGGAGTGCGTGGTTGCTATTGACCGCAGTAAATATTACAGCTTCTACTATGGATACTTCCGACCTGTTTCACCTAGTCTCTTTTTCTAAGGGCTTCTTGACCTTGAGCCAGACAACGAAGGTGATCTTGAACCATTTTGAACCATACTTTGGAATAGTTGAACCAATTGCTGGACTACTAGTTGCCACTTCCTTGCCGCTGCCTGTGCTACTCTTTTTGATAGAAACCAAAAGCTGACAATTTTAGTCTAGTTTCGACGCCTTGCTGCCTCGGCATTGCTATGCAGAAAAGACATGAAACTGTCGGAGTTCTCGCAGTTCTGCTGATTTTCTCCCCTGTCGAGGCCCCCCTCGCCCGTACTTCCTTTCTACCATGGAAATTTTTTCTTTATTCCCGTGTTTTCCGTCAATAGTCGACAAAATAGCCCAGACAGTTTAGTAGACCGACTATCATCGATTGGACCTAGGAGTCAGAATTCTCTGCTCCTTTCCAAGTGCCAGGAGAGAATCTGCCTCCAACGATTGTTCTCACGGAGACTTCATTTCCGCTGATTACTAGACAAGGCATGTCCTGCTGTTAGGGAAAATTCTGTAAAATACGACCCCCCCCCCCAAATGTTTCCCGTCTGGTACAACCTCCCCCACCCCTATCTTACCTACGATTTCCCTGAATTTTCACGTGTTCCCCAGAAAAACTGCCATTGAGCGGGAAAGGTCGTCACCGATCAGCTACTGGTTTCAAATACCAGAAATAATAACTCTGAAGGGAAAGGGCAAATGGAAAAAACCAGCAATGTTAACAGCAAAAGTGGAATACATTCCTGATTCTCTATGGGTAAATACGATTCCCCTCAGCAATCAAGTATGTCCTGGGGATCCCCAACGTAGGAGGTGCCGCATTTTTAGGGATGAAGGTAGTTCTCGGGTGCCAAACGGCGGTGCGACTGCGTGTGCGACGGCGGTGCGTCTACGCCCTCTCAGCGAAGAGGAAAGGAGATACACTCGTTTTAAGGTTTCGTGGTATAGTCACGTTGTCGCCTATCACCCCTGCCTTTTGCCTCGATTTCAGCTATCTCGATGGAAATCGATAATTGGGATGATTCTTTAATTTGTTCTAACCGTAACC